ACAGGAGTTATGAATTTCCGGTCAAACTTACACACCGACACACACACATACACACACACACCGACACACCAACGGACACACTTAGCGAATTATATAAAGTAGGATTCTGTAGGATCGCAGATCGCGTGTAACTATCCGAAAACATTAAGCAGCCAACGTTTGACGCAGCAGCTTCCAGGAAAGCCTGCGGAATAGGGGTCCTTTCGAAGGACTGTTGTGGTGAACCATTATTTACTATCAAAGCTAACATACTAAAGGAACGAAAATTCTTGTCAAGTCAATTCTGGCTGCCTTAGGTGACAACATCAATACCTTCGAAGCGATCCCACAAAATGAGCGACTGAAGACTTCAACCTGGGGTTCTCACCGTCATTGTAAAGAACATTGTAAAAAAATCAGAAATTAAACACTTCACCTTTGAGTTTAGATGAATCGCCCGCTATGCAGTAAAAGAAAAGGTACAGTGGAGTGTCACACTGCTAACACTAATTTGTTCGGTTTTTCCCAATGGAAATCATAGGAACTGAGAAGAGGAGACCGAATTGATGGCAATAGATGGAACGCACAAAGGCATTCATTACAATGATTTTTTGTAAATAAGTGTTTTCGAGGATACTTTGATNACCTTGTTGTACTTTTATAAATTCATTTGTTGATATTTCTATGGCAAATAAATTATTCCCCTGTTTTTCATAGCATTATTAGCTGGTCGTCAGGTATCTGGCATGAATGGAAGAACAATTAAATAAATAAATAATTAAATTTGCAACCAACTATGTTGAGAACTCAGTCATTTTCCCCCTTTCATCGTTGAGCGGAGGGATAAACTCAACCTGTTTGACGTAGTCGCATTTCATGTCAACCAAAGGAGCCACCGTTTTTCCGCCATCACCGTATGTCGTACCGTAGACTTCGTCATTGCCCCATCCGTGCTGTAATCGGGCAATTAATGGCTAATTTTTAGAAAAGCTGAAATAAACTTGAATAACGGACCAAACTGTCCCAAATTTCAGCATGGTGCAGTGCCAAACACCGCCACTAACCCATGCAGGGACCCGGGATCTAATCTCGATACCGAACGAGGCACAGCGATGTTACTTACACGAGAAAACCTACATTCAAAAGATACTGGCGTTGTTCTTCAAATCGTCCCGCAGTATTTGTAATTCCATGAACAAGGACGACAGGTTGCTGTCTGAACGATCGACTTACTACGTGTAAATACCTCATTCGATAGTAATGACTCATGATGTGACAACGAAGTACGTAGTAATTTCCGTTTCAGATAGCATGACTAGTGACATGACATGATATAGTGCATCCCCACATAACCCTAATCAAGTGCGTTTATTACTCAACTCAAAAGAACAGAAAAAAAGAAAGGAGGGTCGTCTGGCTCCAGAAAAGCGGCCCATTCTAATACTATTCAGAAATACTCTCAAAGCTGTTACGATTACAATAACTCTTATAACAAACTTAGTCCTTGATCCAGGCTTGTGATCTCCACCTCCAAAGCTTCCCTGTGCTCCGAGATCACGTCGAGCCATTCGATCAGCAAAGTCCTTAATTGTTTCTTCATTTCAAAGAGTAAATAAATAAATAATAAATAAAATAGTAAATTAAGACTACCGAATATGGGTTACAGCTCGGTACAGCAATTCAATTGGAATACTCTTCTAATCAGTAATGTTTAGTGGTAGCTAAGGCAAAGATTAGGTGAAGGGGACCTGAGGAATCAGCTGGAAACGCCTCGCCTACGACTCCTACCAGATGAGAGTTCCGGCAGGTGGTTTAGCCCAATGTGGCGGCAATAATTCGGATAAGCGGAAAATCCCAAAGTGACTTTTCCAGTTATAAATCTAATAATCCTATATTCTGGTATTTCTACTATACATTCGTATAATCTAAATTGATACGGAGTTGATTCTACGTGTCACTAATTCCACACCTTTTATTGTCATACTGAAGGACTGTCTTGTTGATCTCAACACCACTGTATTGATTGTTGTGTGGAAAATGTTTGACAAAACGGGGTGTACTGAATTGTGGGGATACACCCCGTTTTGTCAATCACTTTCTACTACTGCACTATGGGAAACTTTAGTTTTCTCTTAGCCATCAGACCGGTTACTGAAGGAAATGATCCGACGAGTTTAGAAAGCAACATCATGGGACAGGGAATTCTTCTTAGATCAAGGTGTTAGACATTATTGATAACGGCACTTTCCAGTTCTAGTTAGATATGGAATGTGGCGCTCGATGATGAAGATAGGTCTGCTTACTAGTTCAAAAAAAGTTGAAAAGCCAAGGAAACTGATGAGCAGTCGCCATAGCGGTTTACTTTCAGCTTATCGCTTGGGTGCCACTTCAAACCTACCAGTAATCCCCATTGGGGATGCGCCTTATTCGACTTTCTTCAAGAATCGTAGTGACGTGTTGAATTTATTTATTCGTTTATTTGAATACGCCCAGGTGTGCCATTCGATATAAACAGAGGTCTCTGAGGCAGTTCCTGCTAACAAAAACGAGAAGAAAATGCTCTAAAAGAAGAAAAAGGAAAAGCCTAAAGGCAGCGCCTAAGGCTGAGGGCAAAAAAAAGCGAAAAAGGCCGATACAATGACTTGCGACAGCCAGCCTATGTGGAGTCATCCTCCCAGACGAATCTCATATCAACTGAGCGACCCCGGAGGAATGGGAGGCTCGGCTGGGTT